AACGGACTCACCGACAGAATATACCCACCGAAATATTGATCGTCGGTAGTTTCTCATTCCGTCACTAATTATGTCGGTAATTAAAAAAACCAAACATTGACAAAACATCGACAGAACACTGACGGTATTATAGATGTCAATGCGCGCTAAAAAAATTCCCACGAGAACTTTACCAACAGAATAATTCCATCTATATTGTCAACGGTACTCATCCACGAATATTTTGTCGGTGATTATGGCATGGGCAGTAAATATTTTAGAACTCTTTGTCCAATACCGATAGATATATTCCGTTGGTAATAGTAAAGGTAAACACTGATGGAATATATCCGTCGATAATTGTGGCACAATGCCTTAAAACCATATTTATCTATTTAAAATATTTAAAAAAAATATTTGTTAATAGTAAAAAAAAAACAAATAAAATTGTATTAAATATAAAAAATATAAAACTAATGTTAAATAATATTCATCCAAATATTCATTACAAATTTAATGTTTTTAAAAATAAAATTAAACAAAAATAGAGACGGAGCTGGAGGAGCAGGCTGCTTGTTCTTGAGACGGTACAGCCAAAAAAGGGTTGCACATGTATCATCACTCATCCTTGATCTCATTTCCATGACTATTTGATGGAGTTTATCATAATCCGTTGAGTTTCGTTCATATTATTGTTTCAAGGCTATGAATTCCTCAGACTGGGTGCTCGATACCAATGGAGAGCTCTCAATTGTTGAGACACTACGGGCTGACCGCAAGTTTTCAGCCGTAGTGTTGGATAGCCTATTGACTCAATTTTTATCGAGTCCACCAGATGATCCTATCTCCATCCATAAATCCGGATCGAAATCCGGATGCGTCGAAGGATCATCCTCATATCTCTCCCTCAACCGACTATTATAGGTCTCCTGATTTTTTTTTAAAAAATCATCATATTCAATTCAAGAAAATAATAACTTACAAAATAAAATGATTGAACGAATATACCATGAAGTGCTGAGCACGGTTGTCCATGAACTGCTACACGCCTTTATGGTGGTCTTGAATCCGCACCTGCATCTCTACAAACAGCTCCATTGAACTCGGCTCACATCCAAGAGACATAGCCTGTAAGGAAAAAAGTTTCAAGTTAAATATATTTATAAGCAACAACAAATTAATTAATGATATATCTTATTTAAACTAATCTTACCATCCACTTCGCATGTGTGCTGAACTGGACAGAGCAATCATTATGCGTGGTCATCAAACCATGAATTTGCCAATGTCGGTTGTCGGTGCCAAATTGTGAGTATCGTATGAACCGCT